TACGTCTGCATGAAAATTGCCAGCGCAGTCTCTGCGAGAAATCACGCCACCGTCTACGTGAGACAACGTGCAACAGGCTTTCACTTTGCGGATGGTGGGCCCAGTCTCCGGAAGGCCTCCAAAGCCACAGAGACGCCAGAACTCAACCCACAGAGACGCCCACGCAGCACTATGCGCATTCGTGGAGGCACGACCGCGCTCAGTGACCCCGAGGAAGACAACATCGGAATCTGTCACCGCTGTGATCGGAGGGGCGGACGCTCGCAGCAAGAACACGAGGGCTGCGAGCTCAGCCCCATCAACATTAACAACTTCGTGCGGCCACGCGCAGTGCGCAACATCCTGCACCCCCTCGGGCTGCTCAAGAAAAAGGGTGACCACGGCCCACGCCGTAGTCGTAAACTCCTGCCCCCAGTTGGCCTCGAAGGCCGTTCCATCCAGATGGGCTTCCTTGGCCATCAACACCCCAGGGCACCCGTGCTGGTGCCAGAAAACCTGCTCCTGGCCAGGCGGGCGCCAGTCGGGCCTGGGGAGGGGCCAAAGGGGGCGCTCAAGGAGAAGACGCACTGGGGGGCGATCCTGAGCCTGCACAAGCATGTCAACAGCTCCTGAACAGGGCACTTCCTGACCACATTCGCACTCGAAATGGCGGTGCAACAGGATGCCAGGACGCCAGCACACCAAACACTCACTGGATGTTGCAAGACGGGAGGCGAACTCGCGGGCCATAATTAAGCCACTGTCCATTGACTATGACAGACCGCAGGTAGCCACGAGCCTCATAACTTAAAAAGCTGAGACTGCGGTTCGTGGGCGAGCGAGGCCGGCCTGGGGACACAAGCTGCACAAGCGAATCCCGAACCGCCCCCCCCCTCCCCTCCAAGTGACCCAGCTCCTCATCTTTGGCAACTTGCTGCCGCTGCCGCACGCGCACGGCACGCTTTAAATGCTGGCCTACTATCCACGGGCACGCTCTTGACAGGTCGAGGGCAATCTGATCGTGGGTGATCCACGCCAGCGGAGATGACATGCTCCACCCGATTCTGTCGAGTGTGAGCTTACATGCACTGAACAGCCCATTCACTTGGGTCCAGTGCAGGGTACGACCCGTTCCCCCAGCCCATCACGAACGACGTGCGACGGCAAAGAACCCCCCCATATCGCTCGGCACAGTGTGAGGAGAGGCATCAAAGTGGCCCGGAGCACAGGATCAGAGTCCTTCTCAAGAAGCAAAGACAAGGCCCTGGACGCGCCCGTAGTGTTCCCCGAAAGAGCCGAGAACACCGCGTTGCGAGCGGTGTCCAGGTCCTAAGGCGGGCAGCCCGTGACGCACCAACCATAGCTCATGCTGGCCTCCAGCCCCGCACGAGGAACCTTCCTGGTGGCTGTACGCTTTTTCGCTCCTGTTTGAATCATCCCCATGCGCCTCAGACGTTGACGAGCCCCTGCGTACCGACCCTGCCGAACTCCTCGTCCGAGTCGAAACCCAAGTGCGAAATCGATGCCCAGGTTCCTCTCGCGAGGGGCTTCCGCGGCCCCGAGATCCGAGAGAGCGTGACCCACCGCCGCTTTACTGTGGAAATTCGCAGCCCTTTTCCTACGGAAAACCCGCCCCCCCCTCCCCCCCCTCCCCGAAAATCCCCCCCCCCCCCCTGCTGGACCCCCCCCCCCTTACCCCCCCCCTCCCCTACCCCCCCCTCCCCTTCGAACTCGAAAACGGGGGGGGGTCACTACCGGTTCGACCCCCCCCCCCCGAAAACCGGAGGGGGGAGGGGCATCGGTTCGAACCCCTCCCCACCTCCCCTCTCACCTCCAGCAAACGACTCCCAGTCCCTACCACCGTCCTCACCACATCCCCCACTGTTGTTCCCAGCACCGCTGTCCTCGCCACCATTGTCCCCGCTGATTCCACCACCGCCCCTACTGTCCCCACGAGTGCCACCACCGCTGTCGCACTGTCCCCACTGTCCCACCACTGTTCCAGCCACGGCTCCACTCTCCCAACTTTCTCCACGACTATCCCCACTGTCCCCACTGTCCCACTGACTCCTCCGCTGTCCCACTGAGCTGTCCCACTGTTCCCACCACTGTCCCCACTGCCCCCACCGCTGTCCTCGCTGTACCTCTGTTCGATTGTCCCACCTCCGTCCTCGCCGCCGCCTTCACCACTGTCCCCACCACCACTGTGCCCTCCACTGTCCTACTGTTTCCACCACATTCCCAATGTCCCCACACCACTGTCCCCACCACCACCGTCCCCACGACTGTCCCACTGTCCCCACTGTTCCCACCATTGTCCTCACCATTGTCCCCACCACTACCGGTCCCACCACTGCCCCGCTGTCTCCACCGCTGTCCCGCTGCCCCCCCATCGCTGTCCCCACCACCACCGCCCCCACCACTGCCCGCATCACCCCTCGGTTTCCGAGGGCGGGGGGGGGGGGGCGGGGGTTCGAACCGGCAGTGACCCCCCCCGGCTTTCGAGTTCGAGGGGGGGGGGTCGAACCGGCAGCGACCCCCCCCCCCCTTTCATGATGAACTGGGGGGGGGGGAGGGGTTCGAACCGGCGGTGACCCCCCCGGTTTTCCAGAGGGGAGGGGGGTTCGAACCGGTAGTGACCCCCCCGGTTTTCCGCCAGCAGCAGTAGAACACGCTCTTTCCGAGATCCCGACGAAGACGTTTGGCGACTACGCCGCGAACAGACACACCGCTACACAGCACTATTGTCTTGCCACTGTGGATCCGAATGTCGATGCTGGCCAGGGCTACTTTGAGGGCTAGGGCGGCCTGCACGAGCTCCCTGGTGACCCGCTGCTGCCCACCCAAATGTTGATGCAAGGTGTCGTCAACGACGACGGTGGACGTAACAGTACGATGGAGCCGATGTACTTCGTCTAGCGGACGAATGAGCACCATCTTCAAAAAACAAGTAGCCCGGCCATCTCCTGGGGGAATGGTCTGCTCGACCTCGAGCGGCTGAGACACAACCTGCCCAACGCAGCAGTAACGTTCAGCACGGTATAGCGCAATCTTCAACTGCCAGAGTGGGAACCCCGTAGCCATAGCGGCCTCCAGAAGCCAATGGTGACCCACTTGTTCAAAAGCTTTTAACAAATCCAAAAAACACCATACCAGATATCCAAGCCCCCTTAGCTGAACCTTTGGCCTTAGTGTTAGCATACTCCGACCAGGCCGTCTGCTGCCAGACAGCGCGATCACATGATCGACCCTTGGAGGCCCAGAAATAAGCCCGATCGCTTCGACGTCCCCAATCGTGAGCAATCGGGCGGCGCAGCCTCGCCTGAACGCGCGCGAGCACGTGGATTGAAGCTATCGGCCGCGCCCCTCCGAGCCTCTTGGCAAGGAATGCGATCTTCGTTGGTATCTTGGGCCACTCGGCCGCCTCCTCCACGGCAATCAGGGTGTCCAGAAAAACTTCCAGGGCGGCATCGCACAGACTGTCGAGCTGGCGAGGCCGAATCATGCAGAACGACATCCCAGAGTGCTTCGGGAAGGTGCGAAGTACCTTGCGAAGGTGGGCCACTGAGGGCCTGGCAGGACGGTGCCCCAGATGTAGTGGCCACTCAAGGCCTCGATGCCACTGCCCCACCTTCCACCATCTGCTCCACTCCTCCTGTAACCTGTCCACCTCCTTCTGCATGTCTCTAGGACGAAACAGGGGCCTCCTTGGTACCCTCGTGCCATCCAGTAGGGACCTTGGTGAGGGCATGCAGGGCCCCAGCTCCAGCTCCAGCCTGCTCTGAGACCCAGCGCCTGAAAGAACTCTTATTCAGGTCCATGTCTCTCTTAGCCAACTTGAGGGCCTCATCCCGAATGACCCGCGACAGAATCTCCTGGATATCAGAGTCCAGGGTGTGCACATCCATGACGAAACAAACACCAACCTCCAGCCTCCAGCAGGAGCCGCGCCTGCCTGTACACCAGCGGGGGCACCTGAGATCAGCTTGTGCAGAGAACGCAGCGCAGACGCACGTGTGAGCGGCTTGTCGAACGCCGCTGCAAAGTGCAGACTCGCCGGCAGGTTCTTCAGCCAGGGTGTTTCTGGAGATACTGTCGGGAACTTCGGGATCTTCGGAACCAAAGTGGAGACCCACTTGGGCTGCAGGGGCCTGTCACGCCCCATATGTTCATGTGCATCATCGCCAACATCGTAGACGTCACACAACTCACTCTCGGCCTGCAAAACACATGTATTCCAAGCGCGCGTGAGGGACCCCCCCCTTCATCGAGAGCAGCTTCGACACTGAGACGAGTGGGGCCCCAGGGAGCCTCATGACCATATGCATGGCCTCCAACAGGCCTGTCGACTGGAAAAGTGCGAGGCACAGGAACAACACGCACACACGGACGCGCAGCGACAGATGAGAGGGCAAGCCGAACTGAAACATGAGAGTTCGTGCTAACCTGCACGTCCGTGAGAGCCTCGACCGAGGCAACCTGAAGCACATTGGATATCAGGAAGTAGACCAACGTGCGCCCGCTGGAGAACGTGGCAGCGTCTGGCTTCGCAAGCTGCGCGTCGAACCAGTCCAACACCCCTGACTCCATCAGGGCCTCGGGTGGGCAGTTTAAGTCGCCCCCGATGATGTACGGGAGCTGAACGGCCTTCAGGAACTCCGCGAGCTTGAACATTAGCTTGGAGTTCTCGGCACCCATCTCCTCTCCAGAAATGAAGTTCACTAGCAATACACCATGCTTTTCAGAGCCCGAGTGGCACAGCAATGAGATACGATCAGGGACGAGGACCTCGGACTTCTCAGTGTCAAGCCGAGCCAGCCCGTGCACTCTGGGAGCCATCGTCAGCAGGCCTCCATGTCCGAATCCACCTGGTAACACATCAGCTGCAGGCAAAGCTGCGGCGTTCCTCCTTCTCCTCCTCCTCCTCCTCCTCCTCCTCCTCCTCCTCCTCCTCCTCCTCGCCCCCCCCCGTTGCGCGACGCCCCCGCCCGCGTCGCGCGGCCGAGGGGGGGGCTGGCCGCCTCGGGCGGCCCGCGGGGTTGGGCTCGTGGGCCTCGGGGGCCTCGTCCTGCCGCGCGGGTCGGGCAGGAGGGAAGAGGAGGAGGAGGAGGAGGAGGAGGAGGAGGAGGAGGAGGAGGAGGAGGAGGAGGAGGAGGAGGAGGGGGAGGACGAGGAGGAGAGGGAGGAGGAGGAGGAGGAGGAGGAGGAGGAGGAGGAGGAGGAGGAGGGGGAGGAGGAGGGGAAGGGAAGGAGGAGGAGGAGGAGGAGGAGGAGGAGGAGGAGGAGGAGGAGGAAGGAGGGAGGAGGAGGAGGAGGAGGAGGAGAGGAGGGGGAGGGCGCTGACGACGACGACGACGACGACGCACGGGGGGGGGCGCGGGCGCGGCCGCTCCTCCGCACCGCTGCCGACCTCCCGCTCCTCCGCGCCGCCCTCCTCGTGCGAGCTCGGCCTGCGGGCCCGCGCCGAGACGCGACGGGTCCGGGGCGCCCGCCATGGCAGTGACTGCTCGGCACCGGCTGGCGCGGCTCCGCGGCTGCGCTAGCGGGCCGCAAACTCGCGAGCAGGGCGGCCCGCTGGTTCGGCACAACCGACGCGGCCGCGATGACGCTTGAAGGTGTTGACTTCCCAACACGTCTCGCAGGCCGCGTTGGGGGGGCGCGGCGCCTCCGCAACGCCGCCGTCAAGATCGCACGCTTCGTGGCCCTGGAGGGAGCTCCACCGAAGGCCCCAGTGACGCAGCACGCGTGCGTCCCAGCCGCTCATGCCGGAACACCCCCCGCACGTTTCTTGACCCCCTAAGGAGCTTCACCGAAGGCCTCGACGGCTGCGTTCGCATGCGCCCACCCGCACTTACTTCTGCACGCCCCTCACACGTTTCGTGGCCCCATAGAGAGCTCCACCGAAGGTCCCAGTGGCTGCGTTTGCATGCGCACACCGCGCCTATGTCGGCGCACCTGTCGCACGCTTCGTGGCCCCATACGGAGTTCCAGTGGAGGCCCCAGTTGTTGCGTTCGCATGCGCCCGTTCCGTGCCCCCATACGGAGCTCCACCGCAGGCCCCAATGGCAGCGGTCGCATGCGCCCAACGCGCCCAGGTCGGCACATCCGTCACACGTTTCGTGCCTCCATGCGGAGCTCCACCGAACCCCAATTGCAGCGGTCGCATGCGCCCACCGCACCCAAGTCGGCACACCCGTCGCACTTTTCGAGGCCCCATCATGAATTTCTACATGAGATCCTGAAGCCTGCGTTCGCATGTGCCCACCTGGCATGTTTCGTGCCCTCGCAGGGAGCTCCACCAAAGGCCCCCAGTGGTGGCGTTCGCACGCGCCCACCGCACCCATGCCAGCACACACCTCACATGTTTCGTGGCCCCACAGGGACCTCCACCGGAGGCCCTGGTGGCAGCGTTCGCAAGCGCCCATTGCGCCCATGTTGGCACACCCCTCACACGTTCCGTGCCCCATACGGAGCTCCACCGCAGGCCCCAGTGGCAGCGGTCGCATGCGCCCACCGCGCCCAGGTCGGCACATCCGTCACACGTTTCGTGCCTCCGTGCGGAGCTCCACCGAACCTTACTTGCAGCGGTCGCATGCGCCCACCGCGCCCATGTCGGCACACCTGTCACACGCGTCGTGCCCCCATACGGAGCTCCACTGGAGGCCCCAGTGGCAGCGGTCGCATGCGCTCGCCGCACCCAGGTCCGCGCATTCTCCGCACTTTTCGTGCCCTCAGACAGAGTTCCACTTGAGGCCCCAGTGGCTGCGTTCGCACGCGCCCACCGCACTCGGCGCACCCCTTACACGTTTCGTGGCCCACTAAAGAGCTCCACCGAAAGCCCCAATTGTTGCGTTCGCCCATAGGGAAATTCATCGAAGGCCTCCAGTGGTTGCGTTCGCATGCACCCGCCGCACTCATTTCGGCACAACCCTCACAAATTTCGTGGCCCCACAGGCAGCTCCACCGAAGGCCCCGGTGGCTGCGTTCGCATGAGCCCACCACACTCATTCCCGCACACCCCTCATACGTCTGGTGCCTCCACAGGGAGCTCCACCGAAGGCACCCAATGGCTGCGTTCACACGCGCCCACCGCACCCATTACGGCATCACACGTGTCGTGACCCCACAGGGAGCTCCACCGAAGGCCCCTGTGGCAGCGTTCGCATGCGCCCACCGCGCCCATGTCAGCACACCCCTCACACGTTTCGTTGCCCCAGACGGAGTTCCCCCCGAGGCCCCAGTGGCAGCGGTCGCATGCGCCTGCCGCACCATTTCGGCACACCTCCCACATGCTCCGTGGCCCCGTGGTGAGCTCCACTGAGGGCCCCACCATAAGGGGGCTCCACCGAAGACGACACTCACAAGTGCGTTACTCACAACTGCGAGTGGTTGGATCCTCCGCCAGGCTGAGTTTGTTGTTTGTTCCCAGAGACAGGGCGACGAAGACTATACCTAAACATGCTCGCAGCGTGAACAACATCAGGACGGAAAATGTTTCGCGACGGAGGCCAACAACAAACTGCTCGGGAGGAAGACCTTGTACCGGGGGAAAAGGTCGGGACATTCGGGCGCCCCGTATTGAAACAATCTGGGAAGTGCATGTCTCGGTTAACAAATCTGCTTGACAAGACTAGCACGGTGCGGGCACTGGATAAGGAAGCATTGGAGAAGGACTCCAAGGTCTGGAAGCCGGCGGGACTTTTATTGAGGCTCGGCATTGATATCACCGCCGCCCTCATCAAACAAGGAAGCCTTCAGGGTCTGAAACGTCCGGGGCACACTCTTGAACCAACGCGCCAACGTCCCCACCATATGATGCACAAATGTACTTGACAAGAATACTACGGCCATCGTGCTGCCATGCGAACGAAGCCTGGCTTCCCGGTCGCAAACTGGCGACCGCACATCCGGGCGCGTGGCAGCTTGGAACCCCTCAGCTCCGTGGGCGCCCTGAGCATAGTGCTGTCAATAATTGGCGGCGCGCGCAAGGGGGTAAAGGGGAGGGGGGAAGCTTCTCAGACGGAGGATGTTTCTTAGAAGGCGCCGGCCCTACATCTATAGATACAGTCAACCCGTATCACAAGGATTCACGATAAGGACGCAAGGGCCTTAGAAGGCCATGCCGACACTTTGCGGGCGGGGCGCGGCCAGCGAAAGCGGCCAAGGATGAGCCGAAGAGGAAGGATGCACAGGTACACACTTGGGAAGGTTGCCCATCCTGACAATCCGGGTTGACTGTAAGGCCGGCGCCTTCTAAGAAGCAGGGGTGCCTCTGAGACGCTCTCCTCCCTCCTCCTACCCCCCTGTGTCCGCGGCTTCCTCCTCCTCCTCCTTCCCCCCACCTCTGCGCGTGGCTGGAACAAGGAACGAAAAGGGGGCTGCTCTGGCCACGACGCGCCTCTGCCACGCGCAGGTGGCCCCACGGTACCAGGAGACCAGAGCCCCTCCCGAGCACGAGTAGTAAGCTTTTTGTATTCGGCGTTTCGACATTGGGAGGAAGGGGATGGGAGGGGGGGGTGGTCTTGCTCCCGCGACTGTTTGCAGCAGTGCGTCCAATGGGAGAGGGACTCCACCTGCCTGAAACAGGCGCCAAAAAAGCAGCCAAGATCCACTCCACGGGGGTGGAGGAGGGGGGGAGGGCCCGCGCCGATCGGCAAAATAATGAATAAAACAACGCTCACGAAGTTGTTCCTTGTTTCGGCGTCGACACAGGTTAGGTCGGGCGTGTCCCCCTACAGGCGGATGTTGGACGAACAATTTAAAATATTCACAACAAAAAGCAACAAATGCCCAAACATTCTCACAACATCGTCCCCATACTATGTTTGGACTATTTTTGAATATTCCTCCTGTAGAGGGACAGGCCCGACTTAACACTAAGGGGAAGCAAGTCCCCCCATCCCAAGATCGCAGCTGGACCGACGGACTCGAGACTCGGCCAAAGATTTCGGAGTATGGTTAACGCATGTCGCTGTTCCCCAGGCAAGGTCCGACACCACCTCCTTCTCCGCCTCCTCCGCCACCTCCCTCCACCACCCCCTCCTCCTCCTCCTCTTCCTCCTCCTCCTCCTCCTCCACCTCCTCCTCCCCCTCCTCCTCCTCCTCCTCCTCCTCCTCTTCCCTCCTCCCTCCTTGTCCTCCTCCGTCTCCTTCTCCCCCTCCTCCTTCTCCTCCTCCACCTCCTCCTCCTCCTCCGCCCTCCTCCTCCTCTTCTCCCCCTCCTCGTCCTCCTCCTCTTCCTCCTCCTCGCATTCCTTCTCCACCTCCTCCTCCTCCTCCTCCTCGCACGTTTGCTCGGATCTTGAGCTGACTCACTGTCGGACCCGGCGGGGAAACTTGCCCTCCCCCCCCCCTCCGCTCTGCGGGGACCCCCGAGCCCAGAACTTCCAGCTTCCAGTGAGGTCGGCCAGCGCCACATGTTCCCCTGACGCTCGCGACCCTTCGAGAACAAGAAGACACGCAGGAACGAGAGACATGTGCGCGAAGAGAGACAAGAGGGAGAGAGAGAGAGAGAGAGACATGGCAAGGGAGAGGGAGAGGGAGGGAGATGGTGAGAGATAACGAGAGAGAGAGAGCGAGAGATCAGAGAGAGAGAGAGCTATTTATATTCATATGGGTGTATATATATATGGAGAGAGAGAGAGAGAGAGAGAAAGAGAGAGAAAAGAGAGAGAGAGAGAGAGCGAGCGAGCCCGAGCTGGCATTGCAAGCGGGGCGGCCGCGCCATCCTCTGCGATAACAGCTTGACCTTAATTGTGCCGCTGTTCGCTCACCGCCCCGCCGTGGTCCAACCGTGTGGCATGCCAATTCTCCCTTAATAGTTCTGCCTTCGCCCCCCCCGATCCTCGCCATGGTGTCATCCCCGTTGACGATGTCTGCTGCCCCGTGCAATGAATAGGGGGCAGACCCGACAATAACTACCCAGACACGCGAAGCCGATTAGTAAACGCACCCAAAGACGGAATCAAACAAGGCAAGGCTGTTTAATAAACGCCCAGGGCCGTTTGGTAAGTCCGGTCTGGGTGTTTTTTCCTCCCTTGAATGAACACTACATCGCGAACGCTGGGCGTTTTCTTACGGAGCCTAAACTCGCGTCGGGTTTTCCTCCTGATGCACTCCTCTTCTAGGACCTGTAACGGAAAGAATATGAGAAAGGGAAAAGGATGATGAGCAGGAGCAATGGGGACACAACCTTCGGGGTTGGTGGGGACCCGCGATCATGCCTGACTCTGTGCGCGCTGAACGTCGGCAAGTGGTGTGCTGGGTGCTACTCCGAATTCCAGACCCAGCGCGCACGTAGCAATCGGCATCTTGATGCCATCGCAAATGCAATACAAGCGTACGATACGACATCCTGCTGTAAGGGATATCGCGACACGTTCGTAGTTGATCTTGGAGGGCCTCAGGGTGCCCGCAGGCTTCAGTGGGCCTCTCGGGCGATCGGGAGATC